TATATATATATATATATAAAAGAAAGTAAAAAAAACCGAAACACAGAGAAAATATATACAGTGTGTTATTTTCAAATAAGAAAAAGGATTTCCATTGGTCTTGATAGTCTATTATTCAGTTGGCCTGAGTTATCATTTTTTGAACATATGTATTACGAACCCCAAAAAATGTATCTAAAATTAACATTATGGCAGAGCATCTAAAGAGATACTACATTATAACAATTTTGACTGGTCGAAGCTTAATGCGCAACTCCGTCTTCAACCAATGACTAGACTGGGACAGATTTGACTTTTGATAGTTTGTGGATGATTATTTATGACCAATCAATTGAAGTACTGGTTGACTATTTTAACGCTAACCACCGTGACCTGTTTTTTTACTTACTATATAAAATAGAAAATGATCTAATTGAGAAAATGACTGGTTTATATCAATTTTTGAATTAATAATTTGATAGTTATTGCATTTTAAAATATAGATTGGAAGTGAAGCGCGAATACTGCAGTTTTTTACAATTAGTTATTTCTCGGACGCACTCCCGCCTAGTTATAAAAATGTAAATATCTTCCTATGCCTTAGTCAAAAAGTTGTTATCGATCAGTAATTTTCTTGATTAGATTATTTCCTATTGTATAAGCTAGTTTTATGCAAATGTTGCATTTAAAAATATAAAGTTGACACTCCTATAAGATATAAGGGAAATAATTAACAAAATCCAAAACAAAAAACTTATTGTTTTATGAGAAATTGACTGGCTATCGTTATTTTGTAAATAATGCAAACTCAAACAATGGAAGTCTCAATAACGATACATGTTTTTGATACAGTGATTTATTTATCTTACTTATTTCAGAAGTATAATTTTCGCACGAAATTATTGCATTATGAGTTAATTATGATGCTAGCAAGTGATCACTTTAATTGACTTTTTAAACTGTTAGGATGTAGTTAAGTAATATAGACTGTTGTACTTATGTAATGTTTGTTATTTCTTTATCTGTCATGAATTCCTGTATAGCGGCCACGTGTCGTTTTTTGGTTGTTCTTATAACCATCTGAGGAGTTTGATGAAGTAGATGATAAGTTAATTTTTTCAAGTAGTCGAGCGTATGTTTTATTACATTAAATTTTAAACTATTAAAGTAATAGATGATTTAGAAAGGAAGTTTTGGTAATTGAATCTAAAGATTTTGAATTAAATTTAGGCAAAATTAAAAAAAAATATTATTGAAGAAGTTTTACCTAAAACGTCTAAGCAACCAATTTGCTTCTGCATTTCGATCGTATTTACTTGACACATGTAGCAGCCTTTGTCGTTTTCTTCTACGTCTCTTATATGTAAGTACCAAGTTCTGTATCCTTCATGAGTCACACTGAATCTCCCACTTGAGGCGACAACGCGTTCATGAAATGTTAATATTGTTTGGTCTTCTGCTTTCATCCAACCAATCTAAAGATAACAATAAATAACGCTTAATGTGAGACCTTAAAAGTTTATCCTAATTAGTAAAAATATACTATTTTTCTATGTATAGCTGTAATTAATATGGCATTATATTAAAAATTCAAGTTCTAATCTTTGATCGAAAAATGTTTTTTCTCATAAAATTTTATAGTAAGTTTAACATTATGCTGGATATAATTTAAAAGAATATAAATTTAAATTGTTTGAATCATCCTGTTTATTTTTACAAGTATCACAACAGTACTGAGACCTCGATTATTTCAATGCTAAATTTATAAAAATAATTGACTCTCATCGAAGGTACTATTATATATTTATTATAACACGGTTGTAAAAGAGTTTTTCCAACACTATTTTACTATTGAACGATACAAAGGAAAAGAACACAAAACGCTAAAATAAACTTCTGTAAAAACGCATAAGACCTTTTTTCTTTTTTAAATTTACATTTACTAGCTTAGACATAATACAAAAACTATATTTAAAGTTTGGCAGTAATAGTTTTCCGATTTTATCGCCTTTTTGGCCGCGTTTTATTTAAAATCACTTCTTATCCAGTTGTCGACTACACTTTTATACTGAGTCACCTGTTGTAATAGTTAAAAAAAAAATAACAAACTTAATTGATACAGAAAAAAGTAAGTAAGAAATTTTTCAATTTTTAATAGATATGATCAATAAGTTTTATAGTTGTAAACGTTGTATGTTCAACAGTGATAATAGATTATCTCATATTGTAAAAAGCATAATTAATAACATTCGTTAAATCAATTCAATGTTTTTTATTTTTTATTTAAAATAAAGGCTAAAGTGAAGCATGGATACTTAACATAGATATTACACTTATATAGGAATCGACAACGATTATTGAATATCGATAGGTCGGAGTGCACAAACATCATTACGAGCCGTATCCACCCGCACTACAAACTCACTCAATATATGAGAATGCTCTAATGAATGAACGGACCATCGGATTAAAATAATTGTGAGAACAAAAATTGTTAATATATTTTTTCTATTATATTATTAAACATAGGAGTTAGCGTTTAAAAATATTAAAATTAAAATTTTTTCATCTTGAAAGTATGAACAAATTCTATTTAATCACATGTTATTGTACAATTTTTGAATTAAATAATATTTATAATGATAATTATAATTTTTCTCTTTTTAAAAATTGTAAGTTTCTTATAGTATCTGAGAAAATGAGTGTCTTACCAAAAATTAATCATTCTGTATATTTATTGTTACTTAAAATAAACGTTATAAGCTGGGTGATAATATTATTAGAACATTTCCCACTCTTTTATATTGGAAATAAAGGTCTACTCGGCAGCCTCCGAGTACAATTTTTTGATATTTCATAAAAAAATGATACAACATTTTATTGTTCATTTTCTTAATTAGATGTTTTATTATTTTTAAGCTAGATAAATATGATTGTTAATTTTTCAATTAATAGTACGTATTATTATCACAATATGATGATATTGTCTAAGGAATAATTATTATATCACTGTATATGTAATAATAAATATTTGAAGTGTGATAGAATATTTTTGAGTAACAATTGTTTAGTTTTATATTTGTCAAACGATTATTATGTAAAATGTGACTTCAAATATAAAGACTTACACTTCTATCAATAAACTATTTTTACTTAAATGGTATATTTAGTTAAAAATAATGATTATCGAATAAAAAAGCGTAATACCATTGACTAAGAATATAAAGTTTGAGATTAATGTTGAATGCTTTTTCACACCTAATGTTTGTGCGTTATTTGTCCATTTAATTATGTTATTAATTGCTTCAATTTAAAATAATTAAATAATTACCTCATTTGTTTTATTTTTTTTATCGTTTTTTATTGTTGTTTTGAACAGATTTTATGCGTATAAAAAAAGTTGGTCTACAATCAAAACTTGTACAAAACTTAATAAATTCGTTAAGACGAGATGTTTTGTTGTGCTATTTTCCTGTAGACGTACAAAAACAGCGATTTTCGTCAAATTATCGTCATTTATTGTTTGGCTCTTGTTAGTTCTCCTTCACATCTACCAACATTTTTGCTATTTCAGTGCTCCGTTTTCTATCCAGTACCCCTCAAGCAAAGACTTTGTGTATTTATTTTCCTTTCGTGTGTGTTTGTGTCTGCTTGTTTACACGTCTGAACCGTTGACTGCAATTGTCGTGTCGGATAATTCGCCAAAAAACAACCATTTACGTGACCCGATCGGTTTGTAGTTTTACCCTTCGTAGTCCGTACAATCGAGTAAACGCATAGTTTATATATATATATATATATATATATATATATATGGAAAAACTCTACTAAATAAATATCATTGACAATAATATGCATTAAAAAAATTATTCCTGAAATTTTAATAGAATAATTAGAATTTTTATTATATCAAATATCAATATGAAATATCGTTATGAACATGTAGTCGCCGTTGTGTAATATATGATTAACAGATAGTTTTATTATTTGTCTTTCAAATGTCTTTTTTGAAACAGTATCTTTGTTAGACTAAAAATTATTAATTTATATGTCATTGAACTATTGAATATTAAAATCTCTTTTTTAATTACTGAAGAATTTTTGATCTTTTTTAAACAATTCGAAAAATTACTTACACACTTTTTGCATTCATTGACTACACAATGTGAAAAATGTATATAATTTGTTTTCAATCATAATGGAATAAAATTTAAATAAACAAGCTCAATTTATGAAAATTAAATATTCATGAAAAATTATTAGTTTTTTTCACTATAACTCTGTTTATTTAAAAAACAAGAATTTTGTTATTTGTGTATTTTTTTCTCAATTACTATTGTCAAGATAAAATACATAAATATCTCTTTTTATCGGAATTAAGTTTGAAAGAAACGTTATGAGTGAGGTTTACTGTGATACAGTACATTACTTTTTTTTAAACCAATGTAAAATCGCCAGACTGTAAGTAACAGGATTAAAAAAAATACTATTAATGTGAACATCTTGTTCGTCCTAATCTAAGGGGTCCCATCAAAGTCAATATAATTGCTTTTTACAACAACATTTTCTAATAGTTCAACATGGTATGCAAATAGACTAATATTATTTTTGCGGCAGTGTTTATATGAAAAAGTAAAATGTTACCGTTGAGGGTCGTTCTAATGTAATTACTTTATAAAAACATTATATCGCTACTTTATTTTTAAATTGTATAATTAACATTTAAATCATTCTTGCAACCATCAAGAATTTTTAAGAAACGTAAATAAATAAATGAAACGTGTTTTGTAATTATTGTGATTTTTTGGGACATTTTTCTTTAATGCAGGGATCAAAGAAAATTTCCAAAATTGTGCCGCAAAAAGCTTCATCTATGTATGATTTGTGATCTTTTGATGTATCGATGAGTAAAAGAGGAGTATTATTATGGACAGACACAAAAAAATAATATATATACATAAATAAGGGACTTATTGCTTAGGTTATTATTCAATCGACTTAGGCCGTAGTTTAACCTATGATTATACGAATGACCCAATGTATTTTAATTTAATTTTTAATATTATTCTGTTTATTTCTAATATAGAAGCTATATCAATTATACTATCCCGTATGTAGTATACTTTTTTAATTAATTTTTGATATTTGATTACAAGGAATAACTAAAAACACTCAAATAATCTATCCCCAATCATCTCAAATTTTTATTATTCTCTTAAATTTTTTAGTACAATAATTTTACATTTTTTTTATGAGTTTCTTTAAATTTTTATATTTACAAGTATATGGATAGCTCTAACGTATTCAGTTATACAACTATTACATATGCATATTATATTTGCACAACCAGACCAGAAAAGTGGCATCTAAAGTGTCTGAATTACATGACCAACAAAAATAACGGTAATAAATATTAAATTCTGGGCGTTGAAAAATCCTCTACGACCCCTTAACTACTACAAACCTTCCTGAGCAACGTTTCGGATCCCTCTTCTCCTATCACCCTTCATCCATTTAAATATTGTAAAAGTTTAGGCACTGATGAAATATTCTTTTCTGTAACACTGGAGAGCTGCAAAAATAAATCTGGCTTAACCTGTCTGATTTATATCTGTACACTGCTGTTTTATACAATGTTTCATTAAAAAAAAGAAAGAAAGAAGGAAACAATGAAATTTATTCATATATTCTATCGAACTTGTTAAACGGTACTTTTTTAGACAGTGGCCCTGACATTAGATAAAAAATTAATAGTCTCGCAACAATATGAGTGTAGTATTTACACAGTAACTGCGTTCATTATTTTTATATTAAATTGACTTTTTGCAATTTAAATACCAATCTTGGTGTGTAATATAATTTCAACACTCAAGTAAATAAACGGATTAAAATCTTGTACTTTTTTACAACGAATCAATTATGAATTGATAATACTATTGCGAATCATAAATCTGGTATAAATAATAAGTGAATAAAAATGTGTAAGTCCGTAAATTTATCACAAAAACATTTCATATCTAGTTTTTGAAACGGAATATTATGAATCTCATCACGTGGTCATTTCTCTTTTAATATCAATTTTATTGATTATTGATTCTACGTTTAAATTTTAATAAAATTAAGAAATCTAATAATATTAGGTAGTACTTTAAAGTACTACATTGATTTACACTTAAAAAAACTAACCAAAAGGATATTCATGCATTCACATGAACATTATATCGCTTGACAAAGCATAAAAAAGCTTTCAACAAAATAATAGCTCCAAACTCATATTTTATTTTAGATTTAAATTTAATACTGCTAAATCTATGTCGGTATAAATTTCATTTAGTATTAAGAATTTATTTATTATCATATTTAATTGATAAATATAAAAGAATTATAATTATAACTGAGAGATAAAGATGACCTTAATAAAACAATTATTTGAAATCATCAAAATCATCATCAAGCATTTTCACATATTATTTGAAAATGGGAATTTTAAAAAAGTATTTTACTTCACGTGTCGCATTAACGAAGTATCGTTAATCAATGACAATCGTTGAAAGTCTTATTTAAAATCAACTATATATAACATATTATAAAAATAAAATGATTCGCTGACAAATGTATTAAATTTTAAGTAACAAAGTTAATAGTTAAACGCAATAGAACTACACCCAGAGAAAAACCTCGATCTATATAATAAATTCATTGTTCAATTTGATAAATATATCATTACTATTGAACCTATGATATATTTATCAATATGATAATTTTTTTCTTGTCTTGAACAATAATTATTCATAAGAATAATTGTTTTGTTCGTATTAATAAAACATTATCATATACCCTTGATAAAATTTCTCTATCAAAATTGATTGAGGTTTTTCTTTGGGTGTATCTAATAATAAACAATATTTATTTAACTTTTATTTTCGATTTATTAAATTACAATACTCCAATATGGATCATTTATTTTAAACATGAGGTTTTTAAAGCAACAAAAATTCAAACTTGAATGCCCAGGATTTATAGAGACAGGTTTTAAATAGAAAAACTGATTAGTGAATTAGTGTAAAATCTGTTTAAAGCTTAATTGTACGTTATTTATAATATGAAAAAAATGGTGAATGTACTATTTACGGTAAATGTCTACAACCTAAATATATTTCACGAATATTGAGTGAGTATGTTAGTAGGGAAATGTCTGTTTTATTAAAATCTAAACGGAATAAAGAAAAACAACATTTGAAGACAATATTTTTGACAAAATAAAAGAATGACAAATCCTTAGAACGCATAAAGAATTTTAGGACTTTCGAGTTAACATTCTCTTTTGTGACAGGGTACTCAGATAAAGGTTATTCCACAGCTGTTATATGCCTTTAACGATGACCACACGGGTGTTGAACTGGAGGGCACCTGATGCAATCGCGTGATTTGCATAATTTATAAAAGCGGTGTCGGCTGTTGCCGATCTACTTCACTGCTCTTCCGGAAAGGAAGAAATTCTGTTGAACGTACGTGAGTTGAAAGCATATCAGAAGATTTAATAAACCGTCGGCGGCACCAAATTAAGAGTGGCGGAAAAAAATTAAGGGTTTTAACATTGATTGATACTAGTCATCATCTTATAAAAAACCAGAAGAATTAGTTAATCAATTTTATCTTTTAAATTTAATTTTAACGAGCGAGTCAGACAAGAATTGGCTTACTTGGTAAAATTTATATTTTGTACGTTAATAGTGTAACCCTAGTTACTAAATAAAAGTGGTAAAATTTGTCCCTTCTTCATATGAATGTTTTAAGTTTATTATTATAAAATATATTATACATAACATAAATATATTAATAACAATTTTTAGCTATAATTTCGCCGCAATCAGTTTTCTGGGATTAATAAATATTATAAGTTTAAATAAAATTTTGAAATATTCTTAGAATATCTATTATAAAATTTTTATTAACATTATTTTAAAAAATTGCGTTATTTTTTCTGAAATACATACCTTATGTGCTCCAAGATTTTCAATTGTACAGGATAGTGTGGCTCTTCGGCCTACTGTGGCTGTGACGTTTTCTACAGTTCCATTAAATTTAGGATATATTTTCATAACATCTGTCTTGATGTCTGGTAATTTTGATCCTATAATTAAATTCATTAATGAAAATTTACTAGAGATAAACTATTTGTAAATTAGTACATATAAAATGAAAAAATATGCTAAGCATACTAGAAAGACATGAATAACAATACAACTGAAACATTGTCGTCATCAGGCAATGAGCCAGTTCAATTAACAAAATTGCATTAAATACACTTGAATTTGAATAAATTAAACATTCTTTCAATTTTAACTGAATAGTGCACCGTAAAAGTTAAACTACAACTTAATTACATAGTCTAATCAGCTTTGTAACTTTGTAAATGTATGGTAAGAAATTCCTAATATTTATAACGTATAATGTTTTTAAATTATTTTATTTAAAATTAATGTTGCAAATTTGACTTAAGTTGTTGGTTACTCCCAAATTTAACTTTAGAGCGTATATTAAATCAAAAATAGAAAAATAAATAATTAGTTATCTTTTATTCGTCTAGGTCACATCTCCAATTTTATTTATTCAAGTTACCGGAAGTCTAAGAAATAAATTTGGTAGTGGCCATTTTAGGCGCATTTTACGTTGGTATTAAATTTTATTTAAAAAATATCGAATTAGTAGGTAATTTGGTTTTATTTATATTTTAATTATTACATTTAATAAGTAAACATTTAAACTGTGATGCTTTGAGCGGCAAAAATTTACATTTTTCTGAGACATACACATTTGAAGGTAACAATAAGTGAATTTATTTACGACACGACGCAAGTCCAGAATATTAAACTAGTATAAAATAGAAAACATTTTTATTAAGCTACTCTTAGTGTGTTACGTTTAAACTGAAATGACTAAAAGAAAATATTCGATGATTTACAACGAATTAGTGCAAAAAAATAAAAAATGACTTTATTTTAACTTAAGAGATAAGGTTTGAAAGCTCTGATTTCCGTCCATTCTACAATAACGTTTTGCGATATATAAATGCACAAATGATTAAAGTAAGTTTATATTTAGAATATTTATTATTACATGTTTATTTTTATGTACATGTATTCTTCCAGAAGTGTTTAAACATATTTTAAAACTTTCAAATTTAATGAGTCAAATTTAATTTTCAAAAATGAATTGTCCGTACTAATAAAACACACTGCCCTCGGAAACTTGATAATTTTCAAATTTTGTTGACTTGCATCGTTTTTCAAATAAGTGATTCAAGTATTTAAATTATTGTGTATTTTTTTTCATCATTATTATAACTCAAAACGTACTAAATGCATTGTATCGTAAAAAAACTCCTATAATGTGAAGAATTAAATTGATCATGCAAGAACAATAATTAAAAAAATACCTTAGTAATTACTATATATAATTATATAACTATACATGACAATACTTCTTTCATTTCTTTTTTCGTGAACGTTTTTATTCCACGTGTTACTACTATGTAATTATCCTTTACAGTTTAACTAATTAGAAGTCTGACCTACATATACAAAGTTATATCTCACTGAACCCAATTTAAACAAAACTGTTGGTTGTAAAAAGTATAGCTGATTCTCTAAGAAAAATGATTGATAAATAATTAAATATTGTATTAAAAATAAACCCAACCAATATACTCATTGATACTTAGAAATTGGAAAATAATCATAGTACATAAATAAAATAAAAAATATATAAATAAATTTTAAATTGATAGCAGAGATCTTAAAAAGAAAATTTCTTCACAGTCAAAACGATAGCTAAACCAGTATGTCATCAAGATAATTGGTTAGTTCTGGAAAAGTTATTGGTATATTAATTGACATTAAAAAGCCCTTGATTTAGTTTTACCATTTAATTTTAATCAAATAGTTAGAATTTGCTAAAATACGTGTTAATGTTCTAGATCTATTCATATCTTTATATTAGGACGTTTTCAAAATGTAAAAGTAGATGAAATAACTAATAAGTTTATCGAGACTAAATATGGAATACCACAGGTAATTGTTTTAAGTACTTTACTATTTCTGACTCATGCCAATGAAATGTTTGGATTAGACTTGGAAGCTTAAATAAGATCATATACTGATGATACTTTGGTTTTAGTAACTGGAGAATCTCTGGAGAAACTAATAATATTGTTTCAAACAAAGCTTTTTGAACACTTAATAGATTGAAAATATGGTTTGATAACAATTTTACGGAACCTAATATCAATAAAAATGTATAATTATTTTAGAATTTATAATATCGGTTTATCTGGAATCTGGAACTATTAATTATTCATAATAATAATTGTTTTATATGGAATAAATATTTATGTAACAATATTGAACATGTAAGTAAAATGAAATATTTAAGGATCATTTTCAATTCTAATTTAAGATAGGATTCACAAATAAGCCATATTGATTCTAGAATTAGAAAATCATTTTATAATTTTAAGCTATTAAATAACATTGTGCGTATATATGTTTAAGAAGTGTAAACTTCATACCTTGCCCTAGTTCAGTCAATAGTCAATTAGGGTATTACTTTTTAGGAAAATGCTTCTAATAGATAATTGACAATCTTAAAATTTACTGTGATTTCAATTTTAAGATTTATTTTAAATTATCCTTTTCACTTATAAATAAGTAATTTATGTTGTATTTTAAAACTAAGGAATGTAAATGGTTTATATGTTTCAGAATATGTTTTTAATTTTGATTTATGCAATGTTAGTCCGGATTATAATTATTTTACTAGGCCTAAATGTAATGTTAGTTTAAATATGTCTGTAACGCAAAAAAGCTTTGGACTTAAAAGCTCTAAATTATAGATATTAAATTGAATATAAACTTGGAAATTTTCAATAATAAATTTTCATTTTTTAAGTTTTTAAAGAATCTTAATTTAAATGAAGTAAATATTTAATTCATCTTAAAAACATTTTGATTGCTTACAATATTTTTTTAATTTTAATTAATACTATGAATATATTTTATTATTGTTTTCGTTGATGTATACATTTCTATACCCTGTTACAAGCTTTGTTTTTTGTGTAGATTATCTATTGTTTTATTTTCATATTGTAATTATAATATTTATACATCTGTAATGTTTCTTGAACAACAATAAAAATATTATTATTTATTGTTGAAAACTGAACGTTTTCTGAAGAAATTGTTTTTAATGGGATTTATTATGCATTATGTGTCTTTAAGGTGTAAATTGGCGGAAGTTGACGACAAAAGAGAAATTTGAATATTGCTGATCTGGCGGTACAGAACACCAAGAAAGAAAAAAAAACAATACCGCTGCTCAACATAGTTATCATTATTCGTATATATGCGATCACAGTAAAACGCAAACGGAACGAAGTAAAATAGACGTGGAAAAGCTAAACGGTCATTTCGAAAATGTTAATAGGTTTTCCGGTCCGTAAAAAAGGGGATCTGTACTCGTGTCACGTCTTCTAGTTCTCCGAAGCCGGTTTATTATACAATGATTCGGCCGCTACTGGAATTGTCATAGAAATTTGCACAATGCTTTAGGTTGAAGACGATAGTGGGGTACTTCCAAAGTTAAATTCTGCCATGCAGTAGGACGCCCGAAGGGTCGTCGAAAAAGATTGCTTCTCATTAACGACTTGTGCAAAATAAAAATGACAGCGACAGCGACTTGTATTTTTTTTTCATCTCGGTGCTATTACTGTTATTATCATACTTAAAACAACGTGTACCTACTTTTTACACGGGCCACCGGCTTCAAAGCAGTTACCGAGCGGGGCACCACATTCGATTACCGCTATGCACGCTTTACGACCAGAGGTCCGAGTTTTAAATTTATTTCTCACCCCAATGCGAATTACGGGTATAAAAAGAACAACATTTTTTAATACCCTGGGTTTTATTACTACACAACCGCAGTTCGGTGACGTTTATGAGTAAATACCCAGAGACTAAATATAGTATTTGAAAAATAGTTGACAAAAATACTGTTAACCATCAATTAAAACGCTAAAGACCAAACAAAAACACGCAAATTACTATAAATTTATTTATTTATTTAATGAAAATTAAATAAAAGTTAATAACGACATGCTATAAAATGTCTATTAATACTGTGTAAACTACTCATAAAAGATAAGACAGCATCTTATAACGTCTATATTTAAAATTGAAGGTTCATAAGTAGTTACAAAATTTTAATGACTCCGAACAAAGTTAAATAGAAACTTGCAAATTTATTAACGAATAAAACATTACTTTGTTTATCTTATTGTCACATGAATTTATTTTATGAACTTTTTATAAATAAAAGTAAAATCAAATAGCGATATTAATACCACAGATTTAAATACCTTTTAATATTGGTTTCTAAGGATTTAAGTGTTGCTTTTCATAATATATATATATATATAAATAGTAGTTTTGGTTAAATTCTTTTTTAAACAGAACTCGTTCCAATTTCTCTAAAAAAAACTTGTTCCTTTTTTTCTTGAAAAAAATATTTAAAACCCTGCTATTACTATTATATTAATACTATAATCATAGTTTAAAAGTATAAATTATATTTTAATAAGCTTGTGTTTAGATGCAATTTAAACAAAATGTTTGGTGGATCTAGCTTAATTTTTCTCATTTCTAAAAATTAACATGTAATTTGTATAATTATTTTTTTTTTGTAGGAGAGCTGCAACTGAATAAAGGAGTTAATCTCCATCTAAACCCCCAGATCGTACTTATGATTCTGTGCTTTCCTGATATTATATTTTTAGTATAATTATTGAAAAGTTTATCAATATCAGAGTTGTATATTTAAATTATAAAATATTGATAATATAATGGAGATATAATAGAAATATTTTTATAATTGGAATAGTCAGATTTCAAAACAAAAAATATTGTTATTGGTCAATGTAACAGTACATTTTTATCTAAAATACAGAGAAAAAGAAACCCTATAATTTAAAGGAATTATAAATTTCATTCATGTTTCTCATAAAGATGAATTTGTTCACGTTCTATCTTTCTTAATTATTAAGGGAAGTATTTCTTAGCTTCGTTCCTACTCGTT